TTAGATGCTGCACCGAAATGAATATCACAGTGGAAAGGGTTGACCGGTTGGAGGAAGGCTCTCGCTGTGATTCAGTCGGGCCCCGTGATGAAGGCTGGTTCCTATCTGTAATAGCAGATGCAGCCCTCTCTCCTTTGTCAAGTCTGCAGGGCCCTGGCCCAGGGGAAGCGGAAGGGGGGTGAGTTTTGCAGCTTTGTCTTCCTAAAGGTTCCCCTGCTCCACCCACTAACCCTTCTACTCCCTGCCCCCTCCATTTATCATTGTTTACACAAGAGGAATCTTGGGCTTTTTGCTTTTTTTGTTTTGCTGAGAAGTTACTGGAACATGGATGAGAGGTATGGGAAAGGTTGAAAGGTAACAGGATAATAAAGGGAGGCTTTTGCTATGCGGAGAGTTGGGAAAATATCATTTTGGATCTCGACTGACACATAATCAGAACTGGAAGTACATTGGAAATTGGCCCAACATCTGGTTAGCTTTCGAAATAGTTGGTCTATAGTCTTCCAAAGCTGGCAATGCTTGTGTGACTCCAGCAAAGGAGACCAAAAGAAAGAAAAAAAAATTTTTTTTAATTAATTAATTTATTTTTGGCTGCATTGGATCTTCATTGCTGCGTGCAGGCTTTCTCTAGTTGCGGTGAACAGGGGCCACTCTTCGTTGCAGTGTGCGGGCTTCTGGTTGTGGAGCATGGGCTCTAGGCACGCGGGCTTCAGTTCTTGTGGCACATGGGCTCAGTAGTTGTGGCTCGCAGGCCCTAGAGCGCAGACTCAGTAGTTGTGGCACACGGGCTTAGTTGCTCCGCGGTATGTGGGATCTTCCCAGACCAGGGTTCAAACCCATGTCCCCTGCATTGGCAGGAGGATTCTTAACCTGCACCACCAGGGAAGTCCAAGAAAAAAATTTTTGACTATTATTTTTACCTGGCACTATTGTGGTCTCTTTATGCAGGTTTGTCTGTCTACTTCTTTTTATGTAGCTTTGGTCTGGGTCTGTTCTACCCTTGTCCTGAATGGGGGTTTCCACTAAGGAGGAAGAATCTAGAACCCAGAGGGGAAGCTTAGGAGCTGGTTACTGACATCACGGAGCCACACCCTTCCCTTCTATTTGGGATTCTTTGAATTAGTTAGTTGGGAGTTTGGCCCCCACCAGGCCGCAGCCCGGTGCTTGTAGGGTGGGAGTGATGACAAGGGAGACCCATTCTGACTCACTGGGGCAGAGGGGGATCTGACCCCGGTGGGGAGGGAGCGAGGAAGCGTGTGGTCTGCTGGAATCTGGACATGCGAGCGCGGCTTCCCGGGCCATGTGAAGTGCATCTGGGTTTCTCTGGAATTTGTCACTCGGCACTTAGGGGGTTGAAGCAAATAGGACAGTATATTATCTGCAGTGTTTATTTCAGTCAGAGGGAAATGGCTGGCGAAGGAACTCGATCGGGTTTGCAACAAAACCTGCATCTCAGTGACTGGAAACCTGTGTGTGTGTGTGTGTGTGTGTGTGTGTGTGTGTGTGTGTGTGTGTGT